TTGCCATTACGTTTGTTTTAAGGTACAGAGTGTAAATCCAGTGACGAGGCAAGCTAAAAGGGAGTTAGGGAATCATTTATAAAGCAGACTACTAGAACCTATACCTATCCTGACCTAACCTGGACTATTTATCAATCCTAAGGCAGTGTTGGTTAGTCTGGATAGGATACAAAAGGATGGGTTATACGTTTGGTTGGCTCGTGTGTTCTGCTGCATAAGTGACTCTCAAACTTTATTTTTTTCTTATTCTCAAGAGATTTATAGAGACTTAAACTTGTTGCCTTAGATCTCAAACATGAAGTAACTATGAACGTGAAGCTTAGTCGACCACCTTTCATATCACAATGATTTTTTTCTCTCACGATTTGTATCACAGCATATGTATCACAATAAACATATTAGATGATGATTCTGCCAAAAAAAGACCTTAGTAAGTTAAACAGATCCTCTAGCTTAATCCTAGCCAAAACAAATTTCCAAAAATGCCTACATTTACCTTGTCCGCTGGGTGTACAGTGTAGGGCCTCCTGTAGTTTCTGAGTTCACCATCGTAAAGTGTTAATTCCCGGCCATTTTCTTCCGTTACCAACAAACACTAAAAGTAGCCTTGAATACGGGGCTATACAGCTTGAGTTGTTGAAACACTTTCCATAAAATTACTAAAACACACACACACGGGGACACGTCTTCCCTCACTCACTGTACACTGCATAAACTATGCTATGTAACAGTACTCTGTCCACCTAACCCAGACGTCTGGAGTCACGAGACGTTGTGAAGACAGCTGCTGATTGGACGAGACAATAATGGCGAACTCGGTAAATCTACAGCTTTTCATAATTTTACTTAATATTCTGTTTATACGAATATCGTTAGCTATATGAGCAGCTTATTTCAACCTGGAATAATTTCTGAAGGCAAAGATGTGAAAATAAGTTTTAAAAATATGTTGGTGCCCAAGAAAAATACAATAGATTAAGCAGTGTTAACGACACTCGGTGTCAAGACGGTCACACAGGTGTTCACGACTCAGTGAATCACTCGGGTTGATTCAAAAGTTTCGTCCCGAGCCTGACCGCTGGCCGGGGTAAAACACACCTATGGCGCGATGGACCCGCGGGCTTCTCCCATCACTTTTACGGTTTGTTGTTGAATAAGTTGCTCTTTTAATTAATTAGCTAACAATAAACTGAAACTAAAGAAATATAATACTTTCCATTATTTTGGTACAATTTTGCTGACCACGTCAGCATGTCGAGAGAAATTGGCGCTGGTAGGCATAGTCAGTGGGCACAATTCTAAAGTCAGACTCGCAATGTCATCATTAATGTATATTGCTACTTCAGTCAATAATGGTGAGCTGATTTGAGAATTGAAGTAGCCCAGTAAACTGCCGAGGTCATGCAGGTGTCCCTAAGCGTGGTGCAGAGAGCAAAGGGCAGAGGGCTGTATGCGAACCCCACCCCATACATCACCTCACACAGCGTCAAGAGAGTAAGTGTACTGAGTAAACTGGATGATTTTAACAATGGGTGTATCTGGAAAGAAATTATATCATTCTACGAGAGCAAGTGAAGGAAAGTCCAGTGAAGTTTGAAGGTGGAAGGATGACAATGTGGAAAGTTGTTTGGGAACTGGTATTTAGACATAAGACAGTGTCAAGTGGTAAGGCACTTTTAGTGACGAGAGATGACATAGTGGTGGCGAGGAACAAGTACCTCAGGTTAAGTGAAACGAACAGAAAAAAGTCGCCTTACCAACAGACGGGCCAAAGGTGTGATTCACTAACAGTTGCAGCCAAGAAGCAGTCATGTCCACTACTGTAATGATTTGTATCAGAATTATATGTTACTGAATCCTTAATGCACTATTATTACAACGTATTAAACATAAGTGACAGAAAGACCAAGGAATTAAGAAATAGTGAGAGGACAAGAGTGGAGAAATACAGTCGAGCTTTGTGCCTCAAACAGTGTTTCTCTTGGGGTGAGCAGTTGAACTATAGACGAATGGTAGGTCACCAAATAGACTCTTACGTCTCCACTCTCCCCCTCCTTTTCCCCGGTTGTGTCCGCCAATCATGAACGTTCATTTGTTCGTCCCACCATATGAGTTATAGGCGGGAAAAATAGCATTTGGGAGTGTTAAGATGATGCGCTCATTTATAGGAAATTTGTAATAATATATTCATTAGGAACCAGGTACAAGTATTCCTGGACACACCTGTTCGAAACCTATACTAAACCCGAATGAGAAACTTCACCGTCGTCTGTAGGTAAACAAGCAGTATCACCCTAGTTAGTTCATTTACCTCACGCACCTAATTCACCTAAGTTAACTAATTCACTTAAGTTAGTGGTGTTGTTGTGGTGTTGTGGTGGTGTTTTGGTGGTGACGTTGTGGTGGCACTATGGCGGCTGTGAGCGGTACTACGGCGGCTGTGGTGGCACGATGGCGGCTGTGGTGGCACTATGGCGGCTGTAGTGGCACTACGGCGGCTGTGGTGGCTGTGGTGACACTATAGCGGCTGTAGTGGCGCTATGGCGACTGTGGTGGCGCTATGGTAACTGTGGTGACACTAATGGCGACTGTGGTGGCGCTATGGCGGTTGTGGTGGCGCTATGGTGGCAGGGGCCAGGTCAGGAGGCACCTGTTTTTGTGGCACTGTTCCTTGTTATCTCATTTTAATTACTTTGACGACTTTACCATCACACGGGACCAGCTAATTATCTCTGGTCGTCCTGGTGGTGATCACTGTAGCTGATCACTGTAGCTGATCACAGGCACTACTCACCCCCTCTGGTCATGTCTTACAAGGAAAGAAAAAAAACAGCTATAAAAGCCTCCTGTAGGAGCACACGAGTACAGCTGGCCCTTCAGTCCCCTTAACTGTGGTGGGTGTCATCAGCAACGGCCCTCACCGACACACTCTAACGCCCTCCATGTTAAGATTTCCTCTACCGTCACCCTTGTCAGAAGTAACTACCGGTGACCTGCGTTGATTTGTTTGCTCTAAAAAGTGTGTGGCCTCAGGGTTCTCGGTAGCCGTTGGTGGCGCCCGACACGGGTTCATTACCTGTGTGAGCACGTCGCGACGGCCAGCACACGCCACGCACCTGCAGCCTCCACAGAACTGGCTTGAGGCACGCCCATTGGGAGGGACAAGGAAGCGGAAAGAAGGGAGGGGAAAGGGGGAGGAGGGTGAGGGGGAAGAAAGGGGAGGAGGGGGGGAAGTGCCATGGTTCCCCTGTCCTGGTGAAAAGTTCTCTTCTCCAATAAAGTTCCTTTCGTTTTTAAGTACAACTTTACAGTATATCAGGACGACTGACAGAGTTAGAAAAATTAAATCACAGGACGGTATTGTTTACTTCTCCTCCTCCTACTACTACTGCTGTTACCACTAACACCTCTGCTACGACTTCATCTCCTACTGCTAATACTGTTCCACTATTATTGCTACTACTACTATCCCTACAATTAATATTGCAATTATTACTACAACTACGACGCTACAACTACCTCTATCATATACCACTATCACTTTATCGCAAACAATTGTTCTTGCTCGCCAGACAATATTATCTTCTGCTGTAAATGTAATAAACCAAACGTAGCCAAAGGCGCTTACGAACCACATAGCGGATTATGACGTCATCCGCGCCACACGAACTGCGAATTAAACGATTTCTTGTTCGTGTCGACCATTAAAACTGGGCGGGTGACGTGTTTACGGGCTCACCATGTGTAAGGGCGAGCGGGGACCGAGTCGCGTAGCTCATTTGCATGTGGACGAGGGAAAAAACCAAGTAGTAATTTAGTTTTGATGGCAGTAGAGGGGGTTAGAGGGGGGGTGTGGGGATGGGGAGGTGTTGCAACGTGGGGGAGGGGAATGGGTGGTGGGGGAGAAGGGGAACTAAAGAGTGGTAGGATAAAGAGGGGTGTAAAAGAAAAGGGGAAGATGGTTGGAAGTGGTGGGAAGTATTGTAATGTGGGAGAGGGAAGAAAGATTGGAGTTAGGGGAAATAGATTGAGTGTCGGGGTGTTGTTTAGGGTTAAGTTAGGTTAGGTAGGAGGTGTTGCAAACTGAGGAAGATAAAAGGAGATATTAGCGATCTCTGGGACTGAGGAATATTTGAGATAAGGTATTTTCTTGTACTGTTAAAACGAAAGGAGTGGAGGAGAAATTGGAGAAAAGAGAGAGAAAAGAAAACAAGAGAGAAAGAAAAGAGGAGAAAGAGACAAAATTAATTAGTAGAACCTTACCTGTTCTGTATGGTGAGATATTGACCAGTTTCTGTAGGTGTTATTCCTCCGTCAGTTTTTTCACCACAACCTTCCACTAACACCACCACCATAACACCACCATGCCACCACTATAACACCACCTCACAACCACCATAACACCACAACACACGTCTACCATAACACACACACACTACCACCGCCGTGACCACCACTACAAGAGTTAATGACTCACTCCCGTCCCTGTGTGTGTTGGTCGTTCACAGCTGGACAAACCACCCTGGGTAATCACATAGTTCACTCCTTTAACTGCCAATTTACCTGAATTATATAGTAATTTGATATCATACCAAACCGTTATGTGTGTTTCATAGTCCTATTGTAACAACTTTCAACTAATTATATTATTTTTTAATTTCTTACGTTTCACTTTCAGAATCTTAAAATAATCCCCAAATTATTCTATATATATATATTTTTTTTTAGTTTTACAATATTTCAAAGTTCAGATATTTTCAGTTTGTTTTGTTAAGTTCAGTCTGTCTGGTTTTTTTAACGGGATATTAAAGATCATTTAATTCTCACTAGTCTGTTCTTATTTTAACAGTGATAGTTCTCTCTCTCTCTCTCTTGTTTCTATTGTCTCTCTCGGTTTCTTGTCTTTCTTTCTCCCTCTCTCTTTTCTGTTTCTCACTGTTCCTCCCCCCCCCTCTCTCTCTCTCTCTCACGTGCGGTTGAGGAAGACACAAACTAGACTCCAAGTGTTACCAAGTTTATTACGCTCCGTCTCATAGTATTGGCTAGTGTTATAAACATACTAAGAATACATTGGTTACATCTGTCATCAATAATACCTGGCTACACCTATTTATATGGCCACACCTTTATACCTGGCCACACCTGTATGCTTGGCCACACCTGTATATCTGTCTATACTTGTATACCTGGCCACAATTGTACATCTAGCTATAACTGTATGTTTGGCCATACCTGTATACTTGGTCACAGTATATACCTGGCCACCGTTTTATTCTTGGCCACAATTATTTACCTGTCTACACCTGTCATACATGGCCATATGTGTTATCATTTATAACTTATGTAACCACACCTGTATTTTCTGTGTCCACAAAGGCCATACGTGGCCATATACCTCATCAATAATAAGGGGCCATGTATCCCAGTTATGATAGAAGGGTCAAATATATCATCTATACATGGGCAGGTGTCATTATACATAGTTAGGTGTCATTATACATGGGCAGGTGTCATTATACATAGGTGTCATTATACATATTTAGGTGTCATTATACATGGTCAGGTGTCATTATACATGGTCAGGTGTCATTATACATAGTTAGGTGTCATTATACATGGTCAGGTGTCATTATACATGGTCAGGTGTCATTATACATGGGCAGGTGTCATTATACATGGGCAAGTGTCATTATACATGGCCAGGTTTCATTATGTTGCCATATGTATCATCAATGAACAGGTAATAATAGAAAAGAGTAAAAATGCTCCATGATACAAACAGGACACAGGGAATAATATTTACATTGACACTATTGCCTAGAGTTGATACATCAGTTCAGAGCTTCAAAGTCTGGTGTGTGTGTGTGTGTGTGTGTGTGTGTGTGTGTGTGTGTGTGTGTGTGTGTGTGTGTGTGTGTGTACTTTGAAGCTCTGAAGCGACGTATTAGCATTATTAATATTAAGAAAGGCACGGCGGACCCTTTTACTGATTGAGGAGACAACACCAACATTATTATATCAGTGTTACATAATGTTTTGCAATACATAGGTCTCTCTCTCTCTCTGTATGAGACATAACTACGTATCACCTTCTGTACACTGAAACTTAGGGTCTTAAAGGCTGATAAAGAAATATAGTCTTCTTGAATTTTAAAGCGAATTTTTGTTTTACCTAAATGGGAAAAAACTTAGGAACTTGTCAAGTCGTTACCTGTTAAGAGGAGTTACCTGTTAATAGGAGTTACCTGTTAAGAGGAGTTACCTGTTAAGAGGAGTTACCTGTCAAAAGGAGCTACCTGTCAAGAGGAGTTACCTGTCAAGAGGAGTTACCTGTCAAGTGAGTTACTGTATTAGAACATATGGTAAGGCACAGATTTATTACTTATTGTATAATGTATTGTTTCAGATATAGCTGTATCAATCTGTCAACAAGAAGGTAAAGTTTGGTAAGAGAGAGAGAGAGAGAGAGAGAGAGAGAGGATTCCCATGTACAAGCCATCACGTATAATACATAAAAAAAAAAAAATATAGTTTTGCAAGTAAAAAAATCCCGGAATATTACACACAGTATAGACACAACAACAACAACAACAACAAAGATGAATTAGATCTGCATGACAATACAGGAAGAGGTAGGTTACTGGATTCATTCTTAGCAAATGAAAGTCCCTTATTTATCTTGCTTGTGGTAGAGGCTCGTGGACCACTCATCTCCCTCCTCTCTCTCACACACACACACGCACGCACACACACACACACACACACAGAGTCCTTCCTCCTGCTCCTCTCTGCCGACACCTTCACACTGTCTTTATCAAATGGTTCTCATACGAGTATATTGCATTATTGTTCTATTTATCTATCCAGTGCAACAAGACCAAGAGTTTCTGATTCTTAGCCATTGTAGGTGTCTGTGGGGCGTAGTGTCACGAGGGAGATGAGAGGAGGACACTCAACTGACACGTCTCTGGTCAAAGCACAACTGAGTTTGGTGACGTGTCTCCTGCTGGCGCTGCAGAAGAGGTTCGTCATTAACGGCTTGGTTCTCCCGGGCGAGTATGTGCACCTTCGCTAAAAGGAATATTGTTTTTGTTTTAGGTTCCCCGTGAAGACGTTTGTAGTGTGTGCATGTGTGTGTATGTGTGTGTGTGTGGTAATTTACCCTAGTCATTGGTGTATGTGTGGGGGAGGGTCGATGGCAATGCAGGTGCAGGATGAAAGGAGCGTGATGTGGACACTGGGTGTAGTGTGGGTGTGGTGAGGAGGTGATGTACGCGTGGTGTGGACGCAGTGTGAGGTGTAATGTAAAATGCGGTGCGGGTGTGGTGTGGACAATGTGTGGGCGTGATATAAACACCGTGTGGGCGTGGGTTAGAGGGTTGCCGTCTGTGGCGTGAGGCCTGAGCCGCCCATCATAGAGCTCAATGGGTTGCCGAAACTGTTTTGTAGCCCGTTGGTGAGGCCGCCAGACAGCCCATTGGAGAGCCCATTAGAAAGGCCATTTGAAAGAGGGTTGGTGAGGGGGCTGGAGAACCCGTTAGCGAGGGAGGAGGAGAGGTGGTTGGGGAGGGGGTTGTGAGATAGAGAGTTGCTCTGGGGGCCACACGACTGCAGGTACATGTAGTAATTGTAGTTGTTGGCGTCCTGCATGTGGTGGTGGCGGGGGAAGCCGGCCATGTTGACGTGTCCCAGGAGGTCCGACACGGTGTGTGAGGAGGGCCAGTGGGGTCTCATCCCTCCCATGCTGCACGTCGACCCTGACACAGGCGGCGAAGGCGTGCTGGGCGTCTTCCCGCCTATACCCGACGACACACTGGTGGGCGGGACGACGGACTGCGGTGCCTGCGACACCTGCTGCATGGCCGCCGGTGGGGCCATGGAGGAGTAGGCCGCGGCTGCGGCCGTATAAGCTGCGGCGGCAGGATAGAGGGAGTTGTAGAGGGATGAGGCCGGGTGCTTGACCTCATAGTGACTCTGGCCTCCCAGGTGGTGTAGTGACCCGATCTTGTTCCGCAGGATTCTGGAAAATACTCGTTATTAGTCTCGTCGCCTTCACAACTAAACAACATCATCATTCCCCAAGTTTTAAGTAATATCAAGGTACAGCATCATCGTTTAGGTCTAGGATTGATAAGAACTAATACTGATAATCTGAAGTATCATCAAAGTATATACTCATCAGTCATCACAGTATGTGCTTTAGTCAATGTCAAAGTACAGTATTATCACAAACTAAGTTTAAGTTACAATAAAGTACAGGAAGGTAACTGTCTAGTTATATGTCAAGGTAAGAGGTCCTACCCTCACACTGTGTCCCGGCAGGTGGAAGCTTGCAAGGAAACGCACAGATGAGAACATAGGAAGTGACAGCATCTAATTCTCTATGTATTCATTATTTCACTATCACCACAAGTACAATTATCATCACTCTTGCTGGAGGATCACTTTCATCACCCGTGCCACATCAGCCAAGAGTGTCATCACATGAACAGCAGCACCACTGTCACCACCAGCACGGAGCTCTGACAACACTACAGTTATGGTCCAATTCACAATGGTTGTCACACACCACTCGCTGCATCACCCACGTCAACATCCCCACAGTCAACACCCCTCCTATACGACATACTCCACTTCAGTGACTCCTTCAGTAACCGACAAAGGGCGCGCCTCCGTGGCTTTGAATGAGTTTTGATAAAGTCTTTCGTGATAATATCTGTGGTAAAAGTGCTGCCTCAATATCACACTTCTATGATAATCAGGGAACTGACCACAAAGGACGACACACATTGTTAACTCGCATAGAATATAAGACGTAAAGGGAAATAAGGAGGAAACCGTAAATAAGGACCCATGCCATAGTGACTAAATGTTTAGGGAACGTCAAGAGTTGTTGTCAGAGGTTGATTACTTGAGTCTGTTGGTCGATGGATTAAATGTGTGAGAATAGATGGATAAGATTACTACGGAGGCCAATCACAAAGTAACTTGTTATTTTGGAGGTGCATGTTTATATCAATTGCTCGATGAAGGAAAAAAAAACCTTGAATAATGTTGAATCGATGGGAAATAGTTTAACATCTTTCTTTAGATAGGGATGAATCTTATCATCTTTTCCTGACGTGAACATTGATGCAGGAAGAAACACGCTGAAGAGTTTGAAAAGAACAAGAGAGAGTTCTGTAGCAAACTTCACGAGAACAGTTTATTTTGAACAACCATACTTTTTTTTCTTAATCTTTTGAGTTTTGATTTTCAGGAACGAAATTTCAGACGTTTCCAGACCTAGAGTGGGAACGCTATACCTGCCCGTCCTTCTGTTGGCCAGAAACAGAGGAAAGGAATTCGAGAAAGAATAGATGACTGAATACCATCACGTTAGCTGAGAAGAGGATTTTGTAGCTGTGGCGCAGGACGTGTGAGGCCACTTCGGGGAGTCTTATTGACGATATAACTTAAGTGGTCATCAAGAGAAGAAAGACCAATATTAAATAAATAAAAATCCCGATGTTTGACTCATTTGATCGTGATCCCAATTATGAATTTGTTAAAAATTTTCTTTGGACAGGAATGGATAAAAGAGAACTGATCGTTAAGAGCAAGAAAGACCGAACAGTTTATTAGTTCGGGATGAGATCAAGTAGGTGTTTGTTACGTCCCATTAATACCAAGGAACAGTGTAGGAGTGTTGGCTAGTTAAGTGAGGGTAAATGAGGCGAGGAATTATGCTTTTCCACGCCGACTTGGACAGGTGGAGCAGAATACATCCACTGCTCTGTTGCTGTCGATATGTTAAAGCTCTCCAGTTCGTCTATGGAGTCAAGTTGAACTTTCTGGAGAGTTCAGTGAGTGTTAAACCGACTTTACAACAGAGGAGCGACATATACAAGAGAAGTTATCACACAGACCAGAGAAACCTAACCTAACCTAACCCAAACCCTCACCTGGATATAGAGGACACGCTGGGAACATTGTACTTGTCACACACACCATCCTTCAGGAGCCGTTCCCGGATCTCCCAGGCAAAGATACCCGGGTCTTTCTGCTTGAGGTCCTTGATATAGCTGACCACCTTGGGCGTCGTGACTCGTGGCTTCGATCCCCCGATAGCCCCCGGCAGGATGGAGCCCGTCTCGTTGTACCTGAAGGAGGAGGGCGAGGTCAACTATATCCCATTCCTGTATTGTTCTTGTTTTGAGACCCGCATCGTTGTTTTACTTGATTAGACAAACTCTTATCATGACACCTTGACCCCATTACAGCTCACACCTGAATCATATAAACACTACCACGAAGAAAATCCCAAGATAAATAAAACTAAAAAAATTAAAATTAATATAGCATTTGTTTTCCCATCTTTCGTTTGTGATCCCTGGCGATAAAAGGAACATCAGGTATGACACACCTTAATGAGACTCATCAGAGACGACTCACCTGGCGAGGATCTTGGACACACAACCATGGGAGACACGTAACTGGCGGGAGATGTCACAAGGGCGTATCCCCAGCTGCGCCAACTCGATGATGCGCATACGTATGTGGTTCGGGAGGGGGCGGCCGTTGACGAAGACTCCCCCCAGCTGGTTCACCTCTCCATACTGCTGAATCTGTGGGTCTGTGGGAAGTACCAGCTGTTTTACTGTGAGTTATGCATACAATATACTTACAGTATATATACTATACATACTTATTAATACAAAGTGTGTTTCTGTTCCTGATTCATAATTTAGTAAATTAGAAGATATTTATTACCACAAAATGATAAAATAAATAATAAATTAATACTTAAATACAATCTTTATGATAAACAGTTAACGAATACAACACTGTAGGTTTATTTGATAATTTATACACTCATAATACCAATTAATAAAAAAAAGACTATATTTATCATACAATTAGTAAATTTTTTTGATTGATTATAACAATTAGTGCATGGATAGTACAGTAATAATAATAATAATAATAATAATAATAATAATAATAATAATAATAAAAAATTCCCCAATCAATGGTAGTATTGATTTGAAACAGTGAATGCCTTTTTTTTCTTAGAACGCTATTTTTCTGTTAGTTTCAGTCTGCCAGTTAGGCTCGTTCGCCGTATCAGCGAGACCTGGGCATCAACTCCAACACGACAGACTGTACAAATACCTTAATTTCTGCTAAGATTCTCGTCGGAACATCTTCAGGTATGCAGCGGAGCTCATTAACCTGGCTTGCTCCTGATTGGTCACTAATTTATGAGGTAATAAAGAGTGATTTTTCTGATTCGCAGATCCATTACTGACTGACCAATGAATCTGCTGGTAGGTAAAAAAGAGCAAGTTTCATTCGCTAAAGTGTTTTGCGCAACATATTACCTCCCTGGACAGATTACAGTGTTGGCTTTACAACAACAAATACAAAGGTTAGGATAATAGTTTACCTGATTTTTAACAATGAAAAATTTCAATGTGTTTTTGTTAAGAGTATAACACTATACCTCATAACATTATGTAATAAAATAAATCGCTTTAGTTCATAAACTCTTTATTTTCATCTACGAAAAAGAGTTACTTGAATTTTTTTTAATGAGGAAGGAGACTTATACTGCACCTCTGGCCTGACTCACTGACTTATCTTGTACACTGACAGTATATTAATCCTCTCACAGGAACACAAGTAATACGTCCTAACTGTAAACTGTGGGATAATTATTCTGATCGCTATCCATATTGTCTCTATATATGTGATGTGTTGTGTGTTATATACTGCACTATTGCTGACACTTGTGTAAACCAGTATTAAAGAATTTCTCTCCCTCTCGCTCTCTTATATATACCGTATACCGTATATATTCCTAGTGTATGTCTTGTATACTCGTAAAATTCGTAAAATTTGAGTATTCAAAAATTACGAACGAATTTATTTTTAATTTTGCTTCAGACTGATCTGACACTGATATTAAGCTTTCAGTAAGCTTACATCTTCCCTGACGTGGGTGAAGCCCAAGTCGCCGTCGTGGTAAAGGATCCCGCGTGGGTGCCACCAGTTCCTCCCCGTACCACCAGGCGGGTCAACATCTGGCCCGCCCGCCGCTAAACCTCACCGTACCTGAATGTTTAAACCCTCTCATTCATCTTCTTCTGTTTCATCCATTGTAGCTCACGTCTAAAGATTATATTTGTAATTATAAGATAAAAAGTAAAATTATCTTGTCTATTACTAAGGCACAAAGGAAAATGATTCGGTGTAGCGGACAGCAGCTCAGAAATGGCTTCCCGCGGGTGGCAAGGGTCGGGGCCAAAGGCTGCTGGCGGTCGCGGTAGACATATTGAGTTATTTCAAGGGTTATCTGGGCCGTCTCCCCTCTGACACCCCTTCATTACTTCCTCAAATGTTTAGCCTCAACAATAGGAAGGTCAGGAGGGGGCGGAAGGGCACACCGGAAGGTATTTGAGGGTGAAAATTGGCATCTTGTGGCCGCAACTGAAGCTGAGGAGAGATGCTCACGTCCTGGTTATTGAGAGGCGGGAAGTGTCCATTGCTGGCCAGATCTGCACTTCACTTTGTATGTGGTTGTAGAGTTTGATATTATAGGTAGTGTTTAATAGATGACTTTATCTATGAGAGCACCAACTTGACTATGGGCCGCTTGTATTGTGTGCTAAAGTACTTCCTGAGGCAAATATAAATCATATGGTGCAATATATTTGTAAAATACGACGGGAAGTAAAACAGAAATGGCCACGTAGTGTGTATCTCTTTATCCATTAGCTACTTTTTGTGATTACTATACTTATGACACATTCTCTCTCGACCTGGTACAGCTGCATGGTGGTGGTCATGCATGTTGAGAACTCCTGCAGCTATGCCGACAGAAGGGCCTGCCAGTTCCATGTACCTGCCTGCTAGCCTGCCAGTCACCCATCACGCTTATCTGGTAATCAGGATAGCTGCTGTTACCCGGCCTGGTACTTAATCATATGCTTACACCCTTGCATACTTCAAGGTAAGTGAGTGCTGCCTGACATATACACCCCAGTCCTGTTTGCTCACCCATCCATCCACCAGTCCATCCATCCAGGTATCCATAGTGTCACAAAGATCCTTATGTAATTTTCTCTTTTAACTTAGGTTGGGAGAACTGATCTAGTTAGTCTCTCACTTGTACTTATGACGCCATCAGTGTCTTACGTGGACCAGGTGTTATGTGTGTTCCCAGGTAGTGCCGCAGTTTCCCCCAGGTAGTGCCGCAGTTTCCCCCAGGTAGTGCCTCAGTTTTCCCCAGGTAGTGCCTCAGGAAGACTCTCGGTCCGTCACGGAGATAAATGACAAGCGGGAGAAGGAAGGAACAAGGAAGGTGAGGCATAAATACACGACGTTAAGAGAGAGAGAGAGAGAGAGTTCTATTAATCAAGAGACAAAAAAACAAAAATACCTCGTCTTTGGTGTATCAATTGACCTGTATACCCCAATACCTGTATATAACACCTGTACACCCCAACACCTGTGCTCCCCAACACCTGTATATAACACCTGTACACCCCAACACCTGTGCTCCCCCAACACCTGTATATAACACCTGTACATACCTGTATATAACACCTGTACACCACAACACCATCAACACCTGTACACCTGTACAACACCTGTATAAACCTGTACACCACAACACCTAAACACCTGTACACCACAACACCTGTACAACACCTGTACCACCTGTACACACACCTGTACACCTGTATATAACACCTGTACAACAACACCTGTATAAAACACCACAACACCTGTATAAAACATCACAACACCTGTCACCACAACACCTGTACATCACAACACCTGTACACCCTGTATAAAACACCTGTACATGTCACAACACCTGTACATTACACCACAACACCTGTACACAACATCTGTATATAACACCTGTACACCCTGTATATAACACCTGTACACCCCAACACCTGTACATCACAACACCTGTCACCACAACACCTGTCACCACAACACCTGTACACCACAACACCTGTACACCACAACACCTGTCACCGCAACACCTGTATATAACACCTGTACACTATAACACCTGGACAGCGCGAAATACAACAACTGTGCGTATAAGGCGAATATTAGACAATAACGGAGAGAGAGAGAGAGAGAGAGAGTTGTCGCGTGCTGTGTGTCGTCAGCAGACCTCACAACACTGTCCAGCCCTGGCCGAAGTGTCACCCCTTATCTCTCGTGTCTTTATCCGGCCTCGTCCGTACTGGCGGCCGGGCCCTATACGCTGACAAAGACAGCCCCTTCACTCTCATATTTCAAAGGCTAAGAATCCGGTAGAGAGCGAGTGACGGCCAGAGAGGAATTTCTCCCAAGAATTTAAATATTTCCAGATGTTGAGGGGAGCGGCATGGCTCACTTGACGTCATTTTTATTGTTTATTTATTTATAATCTCTCAATGTGTTGATGAGGTGGATTTTGTTTCCTTATTTAAGATTATTATGTCTATTGTTTTGGTCATGGGAAGTCTAGTTTCTTGTGCACCCCATCTTGATCGTGTGGGCGGTATAGGGCAGGAAACTGTGGAAAGATACCCAAACAGAACACAACTTGAGGGTCAGTGATATAGTTGATTCTAGAACAGTTGTATATTGTATCAAGTTATCTAAGGTGTGTGATATACAAGTAAGTCATCACTGATAATGAAACACGTAGACATATTATCAAGGGATTAAGGCAGTGGCAATATAGTCTCGCCTTTACACTATACAAGTCATGTGTTATGTGTCACTATAACACTAACCTGACACATGTTACCAAGACACTGCCTGATTATACATGTGTCAGTGTCTGTATCTCCGTGTATGTGTTACTACTGATACACCACATCATCATGGACTATTTACTCTTGGCTCCCGAGTGTCTAAGGAGAGGTCACTAGTACGTGTATCCATAGAGCAACAAGGTGCAGGACAAACAGGAACTCACATAACAAACAACAAACTTCTTCTCCTCTACTATATTCACCAAGATTTCCTCAGAACATTATTCTTTTTACATACTAAAAACAAGTGACTGTCTGTAATTCTTTATTTTAGGTTCAGGTTCGCTTAATGTGTGGTGGTAGGTAGCGCACAGAGGTATTCAGAATATGATACACCACCGTCTGAGGGGGTGGTGGTAGTGGTGGGGTCCGACACGTCACCCCCACCACCTCCAGCTAGTGGGTGGGAGGTGGGCTGAAGGCTGAGGATGACAGTAAGTGTTGTGGCCACGCTGGTGAAACACATGATGATGGGAGGAGGAGGGGGAGAAGGAAGAGGAGGAGGAGGGATACGGAGAAGAAAAGGGGAAATGGCAGGAGGGAGAGGGGAAGGAAGGAAGGTTGCTGAAGTGAGAAGAATTGGCCAAGAACTATTTCCTGTAATAATAATGAAGAGTTCTCCGGCATGTACAGGGGGTGATAGGAAGCCACGTTACCGGTATACCTGTACCTGAGAGCCACCAAGTACCGGGAACTAAGACCTGGGACTAGATAACTAAGACTAATACGAGGACAGTCTTCCCCCTGATGAGAGCATCGAGAACAGTTCCCCTCGTCCCCAGGGGAGGAGGGGGAGGTGTCCTCT